ATATATATACATATCCATACACACAGAAGTACATATTACTAAGAAGTCTTAGTCTTGATCAAGAAGGTAATGAAGGACAAATGTCAGTTTCGGCGATATTGCAATGGACAAAACGTACGTGCTGCGGCGGTTGAGTACAAGACAATTGAAATTGAACAAAACTACAACAACAAAAAACAAATCCGAGTAGAAGCGCTGTATAGTACACGTGGTGACTTCACATACCTGAAGAGATAAGCACCCACAGTCTGGACAAGTTACATACATCTGATCACTGGATCATTTTCTAACCAATCCTGCCAAGACTTACATTGAGGAGGGTGCGGGATGGATGCATAACGGACAAACAGCACACAAGCCCTCAGAGAAGACTGGAAGATCGTTTAGCTGACTACGCAATAAGAAGGAAAGTATACAGTCCCCAAATATTCCATACACGACCTAGTTCGCTGTTCAAAGGGTACGAAATTTCTACATATATTTCCAAAATCATGGCGTTATGGGGTCTCTACATACTTTCCAAAGATTCTAACAATTGTACATACTCTTAAACAAGGGATTGTTGAAGCCTCGCCTATCCAGGATAACATTGATGAGAGACATGAAAGCGTACACACACATGGCCAGCATGTTGCCATAGAAGATCAGGGGGTTCCCCATGAAGTAGATGCGCTGATCGTCTTCGTCAAAGTGACTGAAGTGTTGGCCTACAACGGTAGAGGAGATTGAGTTTAATGAGGACATGTACCGAAATATGAATGTTTATGTCTTTAAAATATACACGGGTATATATATATAAATATATAAATATATATATATATAAATATATATATATATATGTATATATATATATATATACATACATATATATACCCACCCACCCACTCACTCACGCACGCACACATATATATACATTACTTATATGCTCTTTCAGAAACTGGTTTACTGACCTGCAAAAGTAGTGGATATCGAACCTGAATGCGAAAATGGACAGACTTTGCGTATGTTGCGTATGCACACATACATACACATATTGATATATACATTATTTTAAAATAGACAATTTAGACGTCAGTGATTAATGACCGGGAGTGAATGGAAGCACTGACAGCCAATTTTGAGGTGACCGCAATGTTGGCCTAAAACAACGGGTCAACACAGAGTTAGGATGTGTAACTAGACGGGCTGAGTAGTATAAATATACATAGTATATATCTGACAAAGACACAGACACAAACACAAACACAAAGACACGGACACAAACACAGACACAGACACAAACACTGACACAGACACGGACACAGTCACAAACACTGACACAGACACGGACACAGTCACAAACACTGACACAGGCGCAGGCACACATACGCTACAAGGAATTACTACATAGCTTCAAATCACTCATACTCAGATAAAAAATTGATTGTTGCATGCATGCTAACCTTCTGTGTGAGAGAAGTGTGTGTGCAATGGCTGCATATATATACATAGGCGACTATTGGTGTATGTACACGGTGATTTGCTGAAAGTTCTACACAGTTATGTAGCAAATATACATAAACCCATGTATATGTAATATGAAAGTCATGCATGTACATATGTGTAGGTAGTAATATATTAGTGATACATTCACATATTCATATACATACCCAAATACAAACATACGAACACCGTTGGGCTAGAGTCCTGGGCAGATAAGTGATAGTGATACCTTTGTACAGGACAGGCCAGTGCCATGGTTTCGAGGTACTTTCTTCTTGCTTAGGCTTCAGATTGTTGTTGACGTTAACCATTGCGAAGTGGATTTCCATGAGATTGTACCAGAAGGATGGTTTAAGGTCATCAACGGAGGCCTTCGGTACTGAATATATATACAATTGACAATATAATTAGTAAATTAGTACACATATATCTGGTTCGATACTATATATATATATGGTTTAAGGTCATCAACGGAGGCCTTCGGTACTGAATATATATACA